GATGGACTTCCTGTCAGTCAGATGGACTTCCTGTCTGTTGGACTTCCTGTCTGTCAGATGGACTTCCTGTCAGTCAGATGGACTTCCTGTCTGTTGGACTTCCTGTCTGTCAGATGGACTTCCTGTCAGTCAGATGGACTTCCTGTCTGTTGGACTTCCTGTCTGTCAGATGGACTTCCTGTCAGTCAGATGGACTTCCTGTCAGTCAGATGGACATCCTGTCTGTCAGATGGACTTCCTGTCTGTCAGATGGACTTCCTGTCTGTTGGACTTCCTGTCAGTCAGATGGACTTCCTGTCAGTCAGATGGACATCCTGTCTGTCAGATGGACTTCCTGTCTGTCAGATGGACTTCCTGTCTGTTGGACTTCCTGTCAGTCAGATGGACTTCCTGTCAGTCAGATGGATATCCTGTCTGTCAGATGGACTTCCTGTCAGTCAGATGGACTTCCTGTCTGTTAGACGGACTTCCTGTCTGAACTCTGAGGTTCTGGTTCTGGCTCACCGGTGGTTTCTGGTCTCGTCAGTGGATCAGCTCCCACTGGGTGGCGCTGACGATGCGGTAGTTGTTTTTCCGGTAGTTTTCGGGYTGAACCTGTCGCTGGCGCCACACCTCCTCGTACAGACTGCGGACCACCGGAAGCAGCGGCGGGAAGCCAGCGGAGCGGGCCAGCGTGTCGCAGTACTCCCACTGACCCCGGTCCATCTTCAGCAGGTGGCGCCGCTGYACCCCCTGCTCCAGCTTCTTCTGCTGCTCCTGCCGGACCTCCTCCTCCATCTGCTCCCGAGGAGGTAAGGTGACCGAGCCGTCCAACACGGCCAGAGCAAACTGGACCTGAGGAGGACAGGAAAGTGGACATCTCTGTGGGGTCTTGGATAAGCTCCTCCCCCACCTGCTTGGATCCCGCCTCACCTGACAGTTGAAGTTGGGGAAGGGGCAGATGATCTTACAGATGCCGATGAAGAAGAGRTTGGGGAAGGCGGGGGGAACCATAAATCGGTAGAGAGGGGACACGACGTGGTCCTGGACCTCCAGACCCAGCTGAGCGGCYTCCAGGAAGGGGTACTTGAAGTTGTACCCGGTGCAGAACATCAGGACGTCCGCCTGGACCTCCGAGCCATCCTGGACCAGACATTAGAACCAGACAGGAAGTTCTTACCTCAAACGACGTGATTCAAACACCAGACAAAACGGCTGAGCAGGTAGAGCTCACCTGAAGGCGGAGCCTGCCGTCCTCACTGACCGCCACCACCGAGCTGGTCTGCTGGATCCCAGGAGGAAGAGGGACCCTCAGAGGAGGGTCTCTGTGACTCAGGACCACCTGAACACAACATGTTGGCTCAGACCTTCAAACAGCCGGTCCAGTAAAGGTTTTAGAACAGGTCCTGTGTACAGCAGGTACCTTGGCTCCGGCTCGGGCCAGTTCCATGGAGATGTCCAGACCTGAAGCTTTGGCTCCCAGAACCACCACGGTCTGACCCGAGAACGGGTCCGCAAACTTATACGAGTGGCTGTGGAGCACCTTTCCTGCAAACAGAGGGATCAGGACTGAGACAGGTCCAACAGAGTCTGAGACAGGTCCTACAGGACAGAGACCGGTCCTACAGGACTGAGACAGTTCTTACAGAGACTGAGACCGGTCCTACAGGACTGAGACAGGTCTTACAGAGACTGAGACAGTTCTTACAGAGACTGAGACAGGTCCAACAGGACTAAGATAGGTCCTATAGAGTCTGAGACCTGTCCAATAGGACTGACAAAGAGGACAGGGTTAAGGCTGGTTTATACTTCGYGTCGTATGTCTCGTTCCCCCTGCTGAGTGACAAAAAACTGCGTAACTTCCATCTGCTCTCCTCTGCTGTCCAGA